TAATTGTATTTTTGGAATAAACAAAGCTCTTTTTCCTTCTGTCAGTAAACTGTTTTTGTTACAAATAGTATAAATAAGCAATGGGAAATCATGATTCAATAATTAAAGGTTTGCTCATTAGTGACATTAGAGTTTTGACACTCTTAGCTCCCTTGCCAAAGCTTTGCACACACACACGAACCCACACACAGTGCCTTGCTAAGGGAAATAACACAAATGGCAATAACGCAAACTTTCCTTTATTTCACTTTTAAATGAGAAATAATACCAAAATCGGAGTTTTGCTTTATTTCGAACAAAGGTTGGAAATAAAACAAATTTTGCCTTATTTCCCATTGCTTATTTATACTATTTGTAAAAAAAAAACACAGTTTACTGACAGAAGGAAAAAGAACTTCGTTTATTCCAAAAATACAATTAAACCAAGGCACATTGAACAGGTAATATCAGTATAGCAGCTGATTTGATTTTTTTCAAATTATTTGTTCTCGAAAATGTCAAATATTTTACATTTGTTCTCAAAACAATTCTAAATTGTTAAAATCTATTTGCATGTGAAACATTTTCCATACAAAACCAGCGATTAAATAGCAGCTTTTGGAAAGCTCGCCTAACTCAGCAGCACAACCGCTGATTACTGGGCCTGGCACAGGATGGTGGATCAATGCTTCGAGAAGCGAACCAATTTACTAAGAAAGAAAGCTGCAACAATTTTCATTTTTTCACTTTAAATTTTTTACCTTTTTCGTATTTCGCATGGCACGCTTTGATGTAGAAGAAAAAAATCAGAACAGTTTTTGGCACCTTCGATACCAGAAGCAACAACAAAATACAGGCAAATGTTGTTTTTGCTCAAATGCTCTAAACCTGTTTGATAGGCCTTGAATTAAACAAAAAATGTGATATAATTCATATGAAGAAAGTAATATTCACAAAATATTTTTACTTATGAACATAAAAACATTGCTGGAAAACCTTGAAATGTTTGCTTGGAACCATGTCGCAATAAACAGATGAAGTAATAAAACGGCTTTCTCGCTTTATTTTCTGACATTCGGCTGCCTTATAGTCACATTTTATAGGCAAATTTTCAAATAAAGCAGTGGCACCTGGTAAATTCCACTATGGGTAGGATGCAGCATGCAATAACACCATACACAATAATTCCCATTACTTGGACATTAAAAAGCAGTTTCAGAATTGAACTAGTGTTATTTTATGATTTTTCCTTTTTCTAAACGGTTATAATGCCAACAGTACATAATTGCGAAAGGAGGGGAGGGGCGGGGCGGGGGACGCGAGCGCGACGTCGAACGCGGCGCGGCGCGGGGTGGCGCACGAACGCGGACTGCCGCGACGCCGGGCACTTTCAAAATTGTATACATAAAAATCCGTCCATTTAACTTGTTCATGTACTACTTTTTGTCAAAAGTAACTGGGTGACTACCTACATATGTGCACTATTTTGCTTTATTACTCAAATTGTTAAGTACAAAAGTTGGTCTTATTGCTCAACGAGAAATTAAATAAAGCATATTTGTGTTATTTCACATTCAATTGGGAAATAACCCAAATTTGCGTTATTGCCGTTTGTGTTATTGCATATACTCTTAACCGTGAAGTTTTAAAGTATGAAGAACTAAGCTGCATAAATTGAGAATAAACGAAGTTTTAATTTATACTTTTAAATCGAACCTAAGTGTTTCCTTTAAGTGGAAATAAACTGTGATCAAGGTGAGTGCGAAGAGACCAAGCGAAGAACTATTCATGGTCCTTCGCAGCCAACCGTGGCCCAGCTCCTAAAAAAAAAATATTAAAACTTAAAACTAAAAAATTAAAAAAATCCGTCCTCGTACGTCCGCAAAGACTCATATCTAAAACCTTTTAACAAAGTGGAAAAAAAACTTAAAAAAAAAAATAAACAAGTATACATATACAGG